AGCTATAGGGGTAAAATTCGACTTGAATAAGTTTTGTGTACATATGAATCATTCTACCACTTTTTTCTCGGATCGGTCCATTATTGGTCATAGCTTCTATATAAGGTCCACTTCTGAGAGTCACTTAAACTCACATATTTCAATGTCAAATAAAGTTAATTTGAGAAAATTCGACACAAATATGTTTTATCTTTACATTAATCACTCTACGAAATTTTTTGCGGATAGGCATATAAAACATTGTACCAAATTTTTTCTGGATCGGTCCATATTTGGTAATAGGTCCACTTCAAAAAATCCCTTAAACGCACATACTTAATTATCAAATAAAGATATCTTGATAAAATATAAAATATGATGAATCACTCTGCGAAATTTTTCCGGATAGGCCCTTAATTGCTCATAGCTCCTATATAAAGTCGCACACATTTCATTGATTAATAAAGCTATTGGAGTAAAATTAGACTTGATCTTTTTCTGCATATAAATCATTATATAAAATTGTTTCCTGATCAGTCCATAATTGGTCACAACTCCCATATTCTGTATATAGATACATCATTCTATTAAAATGTTTTCGAACTGGCGTATTAATATACATTTTTCTGGACCTAATCAAAATTAGTTCGACAAAAATTTTGGCAAGTTATCTAAAAATTAGATAGTTAGATGGGTTTCAATAAAAAGTAGTTTGCTGGTGGAGGGTATTTAAGATTCGGCATAGCCGAATATAGCACTCTAACTTGTTTTTACTTAATTATTGGCAAAAATTGCCTTTTTCCCGAAATCCTTCAAATTCACATCGCAGGTACGGTAAAACTATGAGAGGTATTAAGCTCATTCTTTCTGTGTTTAATTCTTATATATATCCTTTATAATATCCAGCTTAGAAAACTTTAATTTTTAATAATCCATTTAACAAAATTTTTTAAAGTTTGAAAATGGAGTTTTGGAGATGCTGTTAAAATAATGGCCCTTTTTTGACCACAGACTACATCGGGTAAGCGTTATCCAATTTGAACAAAAATTCGTACTAGCACATTTATGAACCTTATAAAGATAAACATAATATTTTTTTGTAAAATTTTTCAAAACTAACAAAAATTTTCTTATATTTACTTTTATATGTCTTCAGAATCACAAAATTCTCGGGGGAAATTTTAATAACTCAAAACTTTTTTAACCAATTTTGAGTTTTTCCATCTTTTTGGAAAGACAATTTTGTAGACATTACGATTTTGCTATAAAATGGTGCAATAATTAATACTTAAAGCCACATTTTATGAAAATACTCCAAAAAGTGCCATTTTTCCCATATAAACGCATTTACAAACTTTGGCGGCGATGCGCGGGCTCTTACCCTCAAAATAATTGAATAATATTTTACAGTCTTCCATTTGACGTTAAAATACAACATAATTTCACTATTAGAAGTTGATCCGAGTGAAAAGCCTATTTTCGACCCACCCTAATATACATACATACATACAATAACAATCTCACAAAAAAATCATCAAAATGCTTAAATTTAAATCAATTTTTATTTAAAGAAAATATCTAAATTTATAAGTATAGTAATTTATAATTTTATAAATTTTAAATTAATTAACAATTTCTATTAGCAATAATTATCAATTACTTTGTTTACTTTTGTCAAATTTAAACACAAAAACATACAATATACTAAAACAAATTGCATACAATAACAAAGTCTTATTGAACAAACAACCCATCAAGTTTTATTGTTCAGTCAGCTTGATTTGTACTAACCAGTCAAACTATCAGTTTTTTTTACGTCCCTTAGTAAGAAAACGAAACCAAGAACTAAGCAATACGTAAGCAGCACACGCAAAACTGTTTTTACTGTTCAGTCGTTGTGTTCAGTTCGGCTGAGTTGAAAAACTTAACATGGCCGCTGCTTGTGTGTGTGGCTGCTGAAGAAAAACAAAACCACTTGCAAGTTATTGCAGCAATGTGTTGACACAGTTGACTGACTTCAGTTAGCTTGTAAGGGGAAATTTTAACTAGTTACTATTTTTTAAGCATGGTACTAAATTTAGTCAAATATTTAGTAATTTGCGACCGTAATTAGCAGTTTTTTGAAACCCTGTATATTTTACTTGTTGGCGATGTTTACGGTAATATTGTTTTACCAAAGCAACAGCAGTTTAAAGACAGTATTTTTATACAATATTCACACTTTGGATGGATAGTTTCTGGTCCAACAAGACCTTTGTCTTATCAGAATAATATTGTTATTAATGTTTGCTCATTGGAACAGCAATTACGTGCGTTCTGGGAACAAGAAGAACTTTTGGAAAGGCGTTCTTTAACAGAAGAAGAAGACTTATGCGAAAAACATTTTCAAAACACAACAACTCGTAATTCTGACGGTCGTTATACTATTTCACTTCCCTTTAAAGATTTGCTTAAAAAGAAACATTTACCTAAATTTAGCCATACCGATTATACTGCTTTATCTCGTTTGAAAAGTGTTGAGGCTCAATGTTCTTCCAAACCTGCTTTTGGAAAACTTTACTATGATTTTATGGAAGATTATAAACGGTTGGGTCATATGGAAAAAGTGGGAGTTTATCCTCATGATTTAGAACCAAACGGATTTTTCTTACCACATCATGGAGTTTTAAAAGAGAATAGCTCTACAACAAAATTAAGAGTGGTTTTTGATGGAAGTTGTAAAGGAACGAATCAGAGATCATTAAACGACGAACTAGCATCTGGCCCAGCACTCCAAAACGATCTTCCAACTATAATTACTCGGTGGAGGCGTTTTAAAATTGGCTTTTGTGCGGATTTGGAAAAGATGTTTAGGCAGATAAGAGTTGTAGATGAGCAGCAAAAATATCAGCAAATTTTGTGGAGAAGTCCGGACTCAGAAGAGATATTAATTTACAAACTTACTACTGTAACATATGGCACAAAACCAGCACCTTTTCTTTCAATAAGAGTTCTTCAGCAATTATCATTAGACGAAAATAAGAAGTATCCGTTGGCTTCTAAGGTGTTAAATACTGATACGTACGTTGACGATGTTATCTCTGGAGCTAATAATTTTGAAGAGGCTCTAGAACTTCATACGCAATTATGTAAATTGTTAAACGCCGGAAAATTTAATCTGAGGAAGTGGACCACTAACTCACAAGAACTCCTGTCTTTTATACCCCTGAAATTTCGAGAAAATTTGAATGTTCATCGCCTTAATCCAACAAATACAGTAAAAGCTCTTGGTTTAGAATAGAATACTGTTGATGATTGTTTTTCTTTTAAAATTTATTTTAAAAATTGTAGTACGAATGTTAGAAAAAGAAGTTTTTTGTCGGATGCTGCAAAGCTTTACGATCCTCTAGGGTGGCTGGCCCCTACCACTATATTAGCTAAAATAGAATTTCAGAACTTATGGTTATTGGGTCTAGATTGGAATGACAGTCTTCCTGAAACATTAAAAATTAAGTGGCTAGAATATCGTAAAAATCTTAAGGAACTTGAAAATATAAGAATTAATAGATGGATCGGTTTAAATCGGGATGTGAAGCTTGAGCTACATGGATTTTGTGACTCTTCTAAACTTGCTTATGCCGCCGTTGTTTATGCAAAAACTATATCTAAAGATGGCTGTGTTGAAATTAATATTATTCAAGCAAAAACTAAAGTTAGCCCATTAAAACGATTAACAATACCTAGAATGGAGTTGTGTGGCGCTAGCCTATTGGTGAATTTGGTTAATAAAATTACGTCGTATATAGAATGTGAAATATCTCAGGTCTTCTACTGGACCGATAGTACAACTGTCCTTTCTTGGATCCGAGGACAATCGTCAAGGTGGCCAGTTTTTGTAGGAAATAGGGTGGCAGAAATCCAACGAAAGTCTACAATTGATCAATGGAAATATGTTTCTACGCGTGATAATCCTGCAGATTGTGCTTCAAGAGGAATATCTTCTAAAGAATTGGTTGAACATGATTTGTGGTGGAGTGGCCCAAAATGGCTTAAGGAAACTCCTTCAAGTTGGCCAAAACAACCAACTCTTAGCTATGATGATGTCGAGAATATAGCTGTTATAAATGCGCATACAGTTGAAGTGCAGCCCACGGAGTACCCTGAGCTTTTAACCAAATTTTCAACACTTAATAAACTTATCCGTGTAACTGCTTATATAATTCGCTTTAAAAATAATTTTATTTACAAATATTATCAAAATAAATCAATAGACAAAGGCTATACCAAGATTACGGGATTTCTTACTACCATGGAACTGAACGTTGCAAGATTAAACCTCATTCGAATATCACAACAAATTGATTTTTTTACTGAGCTCCTTGAACTTCAAAAGAAAGGTTTCATATCTTCAAAAAGTCCTATAGCAAAATTATGCCCATTTATAGATTCGACAAATATATTGAGAGTTGGCGGTAGAATAAAAAATTCTGAACTTAGTTTCAACTCTAAACATCCCATTTTATTAAGAAAACAAAATCCGTTGTCATATCTTCTATTTTTAGATGCACATATGAAGACGCTTCATGGTGGGTTAAATCAAATGCAATCCTACGTTTCGCGAAAATACTGGATAATCTATGGAAAAAATTTTGCTAAATTCGTAATACGAAAGTGTATAATTTGTTTCAAATACAACGCAAAGGTTGCCCAACAGATGATGGGGAATTTACCAAGCGTTCGTTTAAAACCTACTCGGCCTTTCAAACATTGTGGTGTTGACTATGCTGGTCCAATTACAATTAAGCAATCAACAGCTCGTAACACTATAACTACTAAAGGTTATATATGCTTATTTATTTGTATGGTGACGAAGGCTTTGCATTTGGAAGCAGTTACGAGTCTTTCCACAGATTCCTTTTTGGCCGCTTTCCGACGCTTTGTTTCACGTCGTGGTGTCTGTACAGATTTGTATTCGGACTGTGGAACAAATTTTATTGGAGCAATATAATATTATACAATAGAAGCAAAACTTCAATTCCGGCATGCTTGAGAAACTAGCTTTGAATGGAACAACGTGGCACTTTATACCACCAGCCTCGCCCAATTTTGGTGGTTTATGGGAGGCTGGGGTAAAATCTACAAAATACCACTTGAAAAGAATTATGATCAATCGAATACTTACTTTTGAAGAGTTAACAACACTTCTGGCCGAAATCGAATGTTGTCTCAATTCAAGGCCTCTTTGTCCACTCAGTAGTGAGCCTAGTGATTGTAACGCCCTAACACCTGTCCATTTTTTGATTGGCGAACCCACGCTGTGCATTCCAGATCAAGATTTACTTGATGTTAACATCGATCGACTTAACAGATGGAAAGTTGTTGAAAGCTTAAAACAACATTTTTGGCGTCGATGGGCTGATGAATGGTTATCACGCATCCAAGCACGACCAAAGTGGCTAAAACTCAATAAAAATGCAGAAAAGGGAGATTTAGTGGTAATCCTAGATGAAAGATGTTCTCCAGGTGAATGGCCATTGGCTCGTGTTCAAGACGTCCACCCCGGTAAAGATGGAGTTGTAAGAGTCGTAACGCTATTTTTAAATGGCAAAACATATAGACGACCAATTTCAAAAATTGCCCTTTTACCTACAAATAGTCCTTTTGATAGTAAAGAAAGCACATATCCTACAAATTAAGTGAAACCTCCATGGATTAAGTACTGTTGTCCTTAGTGGGGGAGAATGTTAGCTGTTATAAAATTATGTATTTTTTTTCTATAATAAAATTCAAGTGCATTTAATTTAATGTTTGTTACTGTAAATTATTCTTTATAAATTTCTTGTGTTACATATTTGTCATTTACTTATTTGTTAATACCTCATGCATCTCCCCACAATTTCGCTCAAAACCAGTTTATATCCAAATAGTGGTGAATATATTTTCTCTTATAAATCAGTTATTTATCTCATTGATCTTGCTTTTATTTTACTTCTTTTTGTACTTATATGTATTAAATTATACACTTGAAACCTATGCAGAAATTCTGTGTCTATTTTATACCATTATAATATAAAGATTATTCCTATTTTGGCTACTTGATGAATAACAAGCTGATCTTAATAAAAAAGTGCTTTGTAATACTTTATACTGAATAAACTAAATAAGTTCTAAATAAATAAAAATAAATAAAAAACTCAAACGAAACAATGTACATTAGGGTGGTTTTATCTCATATGGAAAAAATGGGTGAATTTTTTTGGGGCACCCCTCTAAAATGTTTCTTTCTGTCAAATTTTAGGATTGTCAAAGTTTGAGCACTATTGGAAAATGTTAACCCGTGCCACTGGAGCCTCAAAGTTTTGAAAATCCCGATTTTTTTGGCGACTTCGGCGACCCAATCTCTGGAACTGCTAAAGCTATTTTCTTGTGTCATATATCAAATTAAAGACCATACTGTTTATAATATTTTATATTCTACGCAATAAATCCGCAAACTAGTACTGAAACCGAAAAAAAGAGTTAATACTAAAACGTGACGTGAGAGCGAAGATGCGTTATTTGTATTATTATTGCTTATTAAGGACAAATACTTTTCCTTTGGAATCTCATTTCATTTAAATATGTTTGCTATGGTATAGCTTTAATATTAGCCCCACAACAATGTTTTTTATACCCTCCACCACCATCAGTGGTGATAGAGGGTTATATAACTTTGTCATTCCGTGTGTAACACCAAGAACACAAACAAAGTCCTTATCAAATTCTGAATCGATTTAGCTATGTCCGTCCGTCTGTGTAAAACACGCTCACGCTAAAACAAAGCAATATAATTTAACCAAGTTCACCCAAAATGTTCTTCATTTTCCTAAGTTGTTTGGTATTGAAAAATCGGTTCACATCGGGAATAGTTATGAATCAAAATTTAAAACAACTCCGAAAAAATAGCATTTTTTACACATTCTGATGTAATTTTTACGAAAACTTCAACACTTCAACACTGCAGTACCTAAAAAGTAATTGCGCGATTTGAGTTTTGGCCATAAATTACGTAACTCTAGACCTATGTGCTTTGGTTAAACTTTTTTGATTTTCCTAATTAATTAACAACTTTTATTTGTAAAATTTATAGGAATAACTGTTTGATAAAATTTTATCAATCTTAAGATTATATTTCAATTACAATAATTAATTTGCGGCTAAAATATTATGGAAGTGTTGGAATGCCTATGAAAATTGTCTAAATAGGGATTTTAGAATAAGGTAGAATTACATAGTTACTTATGTTTAGCAGAAGTGTTCCACTTTTTAAATTTTTTTACATTAAAGAAATAATGTAAATCAGTCGACTAGATCTAAAGTTATACGGCTGTATTTATAAAAATTTATTTTAGGTTTATTAAGCAATTTTAGGCAAAATTCAGGAAAATCGTATTCATAAACGTCAAATAGCTTAAATCACCTTCAATAAACCATTGACAAATATACGAATTTTACTGTAGACCCTTCTTTAAGCCAACGATAAGTTGATTTTTAAACATTTTTTTCTCAGATAAAACTTTTTTCCGTAATTTTAGGTTGATAGCGAAAACTAATTACGGTTTCTTTTAGAATAAAATCTAAAAATTCTAGTTTTAACCTTTACAAATAATTTGTAAATAAAATCGCAGAAAAATTTTAAACGATATTTTGCGAAAAAACTCAAATCTGGACATTATTAGATTAATGCATGAATATTTGACAATATTCCAATTGGCCAGCACTATTTTTAGGCAATTTGGAAATGCCCGACTGTCAATCAAATAAGGGACAAAATTATTTAATTTGCATTGTTGTTGGTTAAATATTAAATTATATTGATTAGCGTTATAATAATGCAAAATATATTAGCCGGCGTTAAAATTAGTCAAATATCAAAGAAATTTATCAATATTTACAAAAATTTATCAAAAAGAAGAAAATGTGCAATAGTGATGTTTATTTTGTCGCAAAATATCCGTTATTCGGATACTTTTAATAATAATTAGAAATTATATGTTATATTTATACATCTGAACTAAATAAACATTTATTAAAGCCATATACATATGTATATATATATATATATATATATATATATATATATATATATATATATATATATATATATATATATATATATATAAAACTATTATAAACAAAAATATGCAATTAAGAAAATCGAATCAACGAATATTTTATTCTAATTGTACGCAACACTAACACATAAAATGACAGCCAAATTGTACGGTGTTGACAAGTTAAACATAAAACAGCACAGTAGTTAATACAGTTACAATTTTATTACTGGATGTCCAGTATATCTACACATCCAACAATCAAATAAGGCCAGAAGATCTTTATATGCTCAATATAAAGCATCTAACTTCGCAAGCCTTCCTAATACTTCTAGTGCACAATATAGAAGTATCACAAATTAAAAGTAATCAGAATAAATCGTATGCCCATATGACTAAAGAGGGTTCCGTTACCCAAATTAAAGCAAAACTAACTTCTAGTGCCCAATATAGAACACTTATAAATAAGAAGAATGAAAATTTGCAAACAAATAATGAAAATAATGCCCCATTATTTTCATATGCACATGCATTAAAAGAGGGGGTACCTGCGCCTGAATCATATTCTCAAAAGTCTATTGAGAATCTAATTCAAACCATAAACAGTTTCATGGCAAACATCCAAAATATGTTTCAACAATTAATGCAGAATCAAAGCATGCTCATGCAGATCCTGCTAAATAAAAAATTAATTCTCTAATAATTTGTTTTTGGAATGCTAACGGACTTAGCCAACACAAGAATGAAGTAGAACAATTCCTACTACTTCAGGAAATTGACGTACTACTTGTCTCTGAACAAACGTTACCCTAAAGAATTGTTTCAGAATTAACGGATACTATACAAAACATCCAAGTGGTAGAGCCTGTGGTGGAACAGCAATTTTAGTGAGAAACAAGCTAGAGTGATGATATATTGGCTATGCCGAATCTTAAATACCCTCCACCAGCAAGCTACTTTTTATTAAAACCCATTTAACAATGTATCTAGTTTTTAGATAACTTTTCATAGGTTTTGTTTCCGATGATACCCTCCATCATTTAGTAATTTCTTTATGGAACTTATTTTGATTATACACAGAATATGCTCATGTTGAATTTCATCCGGATACAATAATTTAATAATGAATTATGTGGTATTCAGTGATTTTCAGAAGTGACCCTTATATGGGAGCTATGACTAATTATGGACTGATCTGGAAAAAATTCCGTATAATTATTTCTATATACACATTATTTCAGAAGTGAGCCTTATATGGTAGCTATGACTAATTATGGACTGATGTGGAAAAAATTCCGTATAATCATTTCTATATACACAAAACATTTCTATATACACAAAACATAAAAAATACTAAAAATATCGTTTTAGTATTTTTTGAAACGATGTTTTTTTTCTTATATGGGAGCTACGACTTATAATCAGGGTACAGATAGCGATCGAATTCAATTCGCTCGCGAGCGAGTTTAATTCGAGCGATTTAAATAATTTATTTTCCAGCGAATAAATCTATTCGACTCGCGAGTTTAATTTTTAAACTCGCGATAATTAAAATTATTTAATTTGCATTTTTCAAAGTTTGTTGGTTAAATATTAAATTATATTGATTAGCGTTATAATAATGCAAAATATATTAGCCGGCGTTAAAATTAGTCAAATATCAAAGAAATTTATCAATATTTACAAAAATTTATCAAAAAGAAGAAAATGTGCAATAGTGATGTTTATTTTGTCGCAAAATATCCGTTATTCGGATACTTTTAATAATAATTAGAAATTATATGTTATATTTATACATCTGAACTAAATAAACATTTATTAAAGCCATATATATATATATATATATATATATATATATATATATATATATATATATATATATATATATATATATATATATATATATATATATATATATATATATATATATATATATCTATATATATATATATATCTATATATATATCTATATATATATATCTATATATCTATATATATATATATATATATATATATATATATATATAAAACTATTATAAACAAAAATATGCAATTAAGAAAATCGAATCAACGAATATTTTATTCTAATTGTACGCAACACTAACACATAAAATGACAGCCAAATTGTACGGTGTTGACAAGTTAAACATAAAACAGCACAGTAGTTAATACAGTTACAATTTTATTACTGGATGTCCAGTATATCTACACATCCAACAATCAAATAAGGCCAGAAGATCTTTATATGCTCAATATAAAGCTTCTAACTTCGCAAGCCTTCCTAATACTTCTAGTGCACAATATAGAAGTATCACAAATTAAAAGTAATCAGAATAAATCGTATGCCCATATGACTAAAGAGGGTTCCGTTACCCAAATTAATGCAAAACTAACTTCTAGTGCCCAATATAGAACACTTATAAATAAGAAGAATGAAAATTTGCAAACAAATAATGAAAATAATGCCCCATTATTTTTATATGCACATGCATTAAAAGAGGGGGTACCTGCGCCTGAATCATATTCTCAAAAGTCTATTGAGAATCTAATTCAAACCATAAACAGTTTCATGGCAAACATCCAAAATATGTTTCAACAATTAATGCAGAATCAAAGCATGCTCATGCAGATCCTGCTAAATAAAAAATTAATTCTCTAATAATTTGTTTTTGGAATGCTAACGGACTTAGCCAACACAAGAATGAAGTAGAACAATTCCTACTACTTCAGGAAATTGACGTACTACTTGTCTCTGAACAAACGTTACCCTAAAGAATTGTTTCAGAATTAACGGATACTATACAAAACATCCAAGTGGTAGAGCCTGTGGTGGAACAGCAATTTTAGTGAGAAACAAGCTAGAGTGATGATATATTGGCTATGCCGAATCTTAAATACCCACCACCAGCAAGCTACTTTTTATTAAAACCCATTTAACAATGTATCTAGTTTTTAGATAACTTTTCATAGGTTTTGTTTCCGATGATACCCTCCATCATTTAGTAATTTCTTTATGGATCTTATTTTGATTATACACAGAATATGCTCATGTTGAATTTCATCCGGATACAATAATTTAATAATGAATTATGTGGTATTCAGTGATTTTCAGAAGTGACCCTTATATGGGAGCTATGACTAATTATGGACTGATCTGGAAAAAATTCCGTATAATTATTTCTATATACACATTATTTCAGAAGTGAGCCTTATATGGTAGCTATGACTAATTATGGACTGATGTGGAAAAAATTCCGTATAATCATTTCTATATACACAAAACATTTCTATATACACAAAACATAAAAAATACTAAAAATATCGTTTTAGTATTTTTTGAAACGATGTTTTTTTTCTTATATGGGAGCTACGACTTATAATCAGGGTACAGATAGCGATCGAATTCAATTCGCTCGCGAGCGAGTTTAATTCGAGCGATTTAAATAATTTATTTTCCGGCGAATAAATCTATTCGACTCGCGAGTTTAATTTTTAAACTCGCGATAAGAGTTGAAAATTTAAAGAGCGTAAAATAGAACTCGAGTCAAAACGAGTTAATCGCGAGTTTCATAATTTTGTAAATGGAATAAATTTAAATTTATAAGGCATAATCAATTTATATATAAATATGACATAACCAAATAAGTTTCCCAGTAAAATTATGTACGCAAATACATATGTACGTACATTATTTGCTGCAAAGTAGTAGACACTTCGTACATACATATATACATACATACATACATACATACATACATACATACATACATACATACATACATACATACATACATACATACATACATACATACATACATACATACATACATACATACATATATACATATATACATACATACATACATACATACATACATACATACATACATACATACATACATACATACATACATACATACATACATACATACATACATACATACATACATACATACATACATACATACATACATACATACATACATACATACATACATACATACATACATACATACATACATACATACATACATACATACATACATACATACATACATACATACATACATACATACATACATACAATACATACATACATACATACATACATACATACATACATACATACATACATACATACATACATACATACATACATACATACATACATACATACATACATACATACATACATACATACATACATACATACATACATACATACATACATACATACATACATACATACATACATACATACATACATACATACATACATACATACATACATACATACATACATACATACATACATATATACATACATACAGTGTCTCACATAAGTATTCGAATTTGGTTGTACTTTGAAAAGAAACATAATTTAATAATATTTTTTGTTTTTGAAATGAATATTTAAATTTGTTATATTGTATAGAGAGTCCTAAGGTATAATATCACACTCTTTAAAATTTGGAAGAATTACATTTACCTAAATTGATTTAACTTTTTTTAAAAAAGGTCCATAAAATTGCCTCACAAAAGTATTCGAATTTTTCCTGTATTTCATATATGACCATATTATACGAAACACAAAAATTATAATCGAGTGGTTTTTTGCTTAAAATTGTGTTAAGGGGTTACTATCGACCGAAATTATATATTTTTGGCCCATTTGTTTCACAATTTTGGAGCATTTGTACCATCTTTTCATTTTAAATTTATTTGTTGTTTTCAATATATTTGTAAGAAAGAAAATGTTCTTTCGCATTTAGAGAAACCGGCAGTAATAAATAAAAAAAAATTTAAAGATTGTCCATCAATATACATATGTACATACATGACTACAGATGAAAAACATACACATTTAAATAAAAAGGTAGACAATATATTTCTTATACTTTCCCACTTTTGCTTTGTCAGACCGTCATAAAACCTACGGCTACACAATCACACATACATAATTATTTCCCATATTATTGGTTCTTTTTTACTACCACAACAGAACCTGTTTCTTGCACACACATTTTGCTGATTTTCGGCTCGAATTTAACTCGAATTCAACTCGTTTTCCACTCGCTCGTAAGCGAGTTGAAAAAACAAAAAGATGTAAATATCGCTTACGAAGCGAATGCAAAACACATAAAACTAATTAAAATTTTAAAACGAGCGATATAAATAAAATAGTGATCGCGAGCGATATTTTTACCTACCCTGCTTATAATGGACCAATTAGAAAACATTTTTGGAAAATGATTTATATATACACAAAATATGTTCATGTTGAATTTTATCCGGATACAATCATTTAATAATGAATTATGTGGTATTAAAGGTACTTTACACTACAATACTTTGTATTAATACTAATAAAAATTTCAAAATGTGTTGTAGTGTAAATTTAAAAAGTATCCAGTATTAAATAATGTGTTATGAAAAGTATTGAGTATTTGAAAATTTTTAAAAAGAAATATATTTTACTTAATACCAGAGTTCATTTCATTTTGAAATAAGTCATTTTTGATGTTTTAAAATAAAAAATACAAAAATGGAAATTGAAATGGAAATGGAAAATATTTGTGCAATAAAGGTAAGTTTTTTAATATATATACATATATATATAATATATGCAAACAATGAAGTATATTCAAATATAGGTGGAGTGGGACAAGAACTCGGTTTTAAAGCTAATCAATCTGTGGCAGGAATATCCATGTCTTTACAACCCGAGGAACCAATTATACCATAACAAGCATTCAAGAAACGAAGCTCTTGAAAAAATTACTAAAAATTTGCAGGAATTAATTCCAGATATTAAAGTAAATGATGTAAAAGTAAGTTACCTTAAGAGTTTTGATTGTGTCGAATTCCATTATATTCCTCTCATCCACTATCAAGAGCTTAAAAAGTATTATTGTGGAATAATATATGGATGTATTTTAATTACAGGTAAAAATAAGTTATCTAAGAAGCCAGTACGCCAGAGAAATTCAAAAACAAAAAGAATTCACAAGAAGTGGAATGGGTACCGACGAAGTTTACGTACCGTCGGTGTACTGGTATGATGAACTTAAGTTTTTACGTGAATATATCAAAATAAGAAAGGGGAAAAACAGTTTAGAAATGGTAAGTGAATATAAGACCAACTCAGGCATACATATGTATGTATGAAATCATTGTGATGTTCATATTAAAACTCAGCATAAATGTTGAATGATTAAATCGCGGTCAAATAAAAAAGGATCGACTCATGAAGGGCATACGTACATATGTATATATGTATGTATTTTGAATATATCCACCTTCCGAATTTACTTAAAATTTACGTCACATGTAGTGATGGTGGGTCTTTAAGATTCGGCATAGCCGAATATAGCACTCTTACTTGTTTTATTTTATGATTACTGTTCTCGAATCCGAAATATTTAATAATTCGTTTACTTCTTTTTTAATATATTCATCGCACGAGCGGACACCACTAAACGCAATATATTTTGGGCAACATCATACAACAATACGAATAATAGAAATTAATGAATTAATTGCAGAGTTTCTATTAATAAAAATTATAATATTTTCAGAGCCAAATAATTTCCGATGAAGATTCCTCACCACCAAAGAAGATTTCATTAGATTCAACTGTTCATGAAACAAAACGCCAAACAGTTGAATTAAGTGAAGAAGATGATGCTTTAAAGGCAGCAACAGAAGCACTTAAAACGCTAGCAAATAAAAAGCAAATTGATCCATATATTGAAAGCTTTTCAAATTTCGTTAGAGAACATTTATTGTCTATTGAAAACGCTCAAGAAAGAAAAACACTGATTAAAAAAATTATGACGCTAATAATTGAACATAGCAATTAAAATAGTTAGTTCTACATTTTATTTTTATAGTAATATGTATGTATACATAATAACACATAATAAAATACTGTTTGTTTTAAAAGTACATATATATTTGTTTTAAAAGTTAAATTTTGTTACAGCCTCTGCTTGCCAGGAAACTTGTCCCTCATTATTAAAGTATGTTCTGAAAATATCTCTGACTGCAGATGCATCATTAGAAGATCTGTGGCCCGGGCTATGTTCAATAGTTGTTAAGGTTGCATTTCTTTGAGTACATTGAAAAGAGTCGTCATTGTGGTTTTCTATTTTTAAAAAATTATGTAGAACACAACAGGTTAAAGTAATAAGTTCTGCTTTTTCAACATCTAAAGTGATTTCTTTTAGAAGAATTTGGAACCGATTGACTAGTTGACCAAAACAATTTTCGGATACCCTTCTTGCCCGGGAAAGTCTGTAATTAAATATTTTATTTTCATGTTCATTTCTTTGTGAATATGGCTTTAAAATTCTAGTTGAAAGTCGAAAAGCTTCGTCAGCAACAAATACAAAGGGAACCTTGAAAATTTGGATTTATTAGATAAAATACAAAGTTTCCAATTTTACTAACAAACCTTAACGTCTGAACCAGGTAACTCTTGATTTTCTGGAAAATTGAGAGCTTCATTGCGAATTGCAATTCCTATCTCAGATTGATTAAAAACTGAAGCGTCATTTGCTCTTCCATTTGACCCGACATCAACAAATATAAATTTATAATCAGCATCCACAAAAGCCATGAGAATGATGCTATTAAATCCTTTATAATTATAATAAAAGGATCCATCAGACTTCTTTGCCCTTATTGCAATGTGCTTACCGTCTACATGTGTACATATATGTATATAAAAAAGCTGATAATTGTATTTTAAATTAAATGATATAAAGAATCAAACCTATCGCTCCAAGGCACATAGGGAAATTCCATTTATTATTAAATTCTGTAGCCACATCCAGCCATTCTTCAGTTGTTGTGCACCCCTTTTAATGCAATAAAGTAAATATTATTATATGCATTTAAAAACAAACATATTTACCTTTAAATAAACGTCTTTTAAATTGTAATAAATAGCTTTTAGCGTTTCAGGAATAATAATGGATATGGCTGGAACTGATACTCTAAAACTATAGGACATATCTGTAAATGTATTACCAGTTGACAAATACCGAAGTGTAATAAGCAACCTGCTCGTAAGATTATTATACAATATTATGAAGAACACTTTAAATTAATTTATCAACCTGGTACTGGCTGGTATCGCTTGCCTAAGGATTGTGTCCTGCTTCGTTATTGTTGGCCCAACAATTTCTAACAGTTTATTAAAAAGATGTTTCGGAAGCCTGCAAAAATTTTCAAAACTTGGTGGGTCCTCCAGTTGAAGTTCTTTCAGCACCATGTTACTTAAATCTTTACCAGAATTTCTTTTTTTTAGCCACTCTCGACTCCATAGAGACCTTTTTTTAACTATCTTATTTTTCAAATTCTTCTTTTCCTTCTTCTTTTTAATTAAACTTATTAAAATGGTAACTACCGCAACTTCATCCATTTTTGCAAATCCTTGCGATATAAATTCGTTGAAATTAAAAATATTCAAATGTTATTTAAAAATAATTATATTTTTGACAAGCAAAATGTATTAATACTTCTTTTATTATTTTGTACAATAATGTAAAGCCTTACAATATTTTTTTATAATACAAGCCAAACTACATCATGACAATGAAAATGATTTTGTATTATTAAAAATACAACTATAATCATAATACAAAGTATTGTAGTGTAAAACCCCTTTTAGCAGCATTTTTTAAACAATTGGATTTATTAAATCCAAATTTTAGTTCTTGCACTGCACGCCAGGTGGATAAGGCAAAAGGTTTTAATCGATGCTAAACAAATTTCAAATCATAATGTAAGCAGCGGCCGACAGATGGAGTTATTTCAAAATTTAATATTAAAATTATAAATTTTCCAAAAAATTTGTAACAATTTGTTGCAAAAATTGGTATTTGCACTGAAATATTTTAGTTACATGAATTTTGTTTATTTTCCTATTTTTACACATTTTAAAAAATATTTGCCATCTATTGGTGAATAGCAAAATAAAACAAATTAATTTATTTTAAAATTATTTTGGTTTTGTTCTATGAATACAAAGCATTACCATATTGAAATTAGCTAAATCCAACTATTTTTTTGGATTTAATAAATCCAATTTGGATTTACTTCTTTTAGCTGCAGAACCGCCATTTTGGCACTACAATTAATTTTTGTTTGACCTTCTATTAGCATATACAGTGTATTTTCAGATAATAATGACCAAAACTAAATTTCAGCTTCCAAAGATAGTTTTTTCTTGAAATAAAATAAATCCAGTGATTAAAAAAAGCCCCTATTAATTGACTTTCAGAAGTGACCCTTATATGGGAACTATGACTAATTATGGACTGATCTGGAAAATATTCCGTATAATTATTTCTATATACACATTATTTCAGAAGTGACCCTTATATGGGAGCTATGACTAATTATGGACTGATCTGGAAAAAATTCCGCATAATCATTTCTATTTACACAAAACATATTCACGTTGAATTTTACCCCGATAGCTTTATTAGTTAATGAAATGTGTGGGTTTAAGTGATTTTCGGAAGTTGACCTTATGTGGGAGCTATGGCCGAAAAAATTCGTAAAGTGATTGATATATACACAAAACATATTCATGTAGAATTTTATTTCGATAGCTTTATTTATCAATGATATATACGCGTTTAAGTTATTTTCGGAAGTAGGATTTATATGGGAGCCATGACCCATTGTGGACCGATAAGTTAGTGGTATGATTTCTGTTCATATTATATTTTATATGTGCAAATTTTGAGTTGATACTGATATATTTGAGGAAGTTATTAACGATAAATCCACTTCCGGAAATATGTACTTTTGTATGGAGGAAAATGGAAATTTTGGATCGATTGTTATGATTTTGAACATTATTGATCACTGGGTAAAAAAATGACGTGTGACAAAATTCATCGAATTATCTTTTGTAGTTGCTGAGAAAACTGCTTAAGAATTACGAAAAAACATATTTTTTTTCGAAGTAGTCTGAAATTTTTACTCATAACTTTAACGTTGTGAACCAATTTTGCTGATTTTCAATACCAAACTGCTTAGGACAATAATGAATATTTTTGGTGAATTTGGTTTATTTCTTTTGCTTAATTTTAACGTAAGCGTGTTTTAGGCAGACAGGTAGACAGACGGACATGGCTAAATCGAATCAGAATTTGATAAGGACCCGGAAAATATATACTTTGTTGGGTCTCAGATGAATGTTTTTTGGTGTTACACACGGAATGACAAACTTATGTATATATACCCTCTATCACCACTGATGGTAGTGGAGGGTATAAAAATATTAGACATTTCCCAATGCCAGAATACAAAAAGGACCATATCCAGGCCACCTCTATAAATATACCTGATAGTAGAGTTACAATATCTTCAATATATTGTACTCCTAGGTATAATGTTAATCGAGAGCAGTTTCTCGAATACTTTAAAACTCTTGGCCCAAGATTCATAGCAGCTGGTGATTATATTGCAATAAAACGAGAATTTATTTCAGTGATCCCTTCACTGGACCTCTCGTCAGACCACTCACCTGCAGTGTTAACGTTATTAGAAACCCCAAATAAATTGGAAAACTATTGTTCTTGTTTTCCTAACAAGAAGACGAAATGGTTAATGTATAAAATGTATGTTAGCTCACACTTGCCACAAAACATGTCATTGAAAAATTACCATGAAATACAATCCGCTGTCGATATATTTTCGGATATATTACAAGATGCTGTCAATGTGTCTACACCCCCAGTCACCTTCGGAGACTACAAAAATTCGTAATGTCCTAGGAACATTGAGTCTCTTATTAAAGAAAAGAGAACACTCAGACGTCAATGGCCACAATCGCGATCTCCAAACATAAAGGTTAATAAATTCACATCGCGATGTGAAGTCTTCTTTGGCATCGCCTTAAATAATAATAAGGAATTTAATCTGAGAAATTATCTCAAAAACTTAGACCATACTAAGAAAACAGAATATAGTCTCTGGAAAGCTGTAAAAAATATGCAATGCCATATTGCATATGAGTCACCCATACGTCTCCAGAATGGTGAATGGGCAAGAAATACGTCAGAAAAAATTTAAGCATTCGCCAATCATTTGGAGAATGTGTCTACTCAAAATAATACAGATTCTTCTATTAGTGCTAACATTGTAAATAATGTGGTTCCACGCTCAATAAAATGCCAATTCTCTACCGTTAAGACGACAATCAAAGGTCTAAAGGCATCCAGCAGTTTTAGTTAAAATGTTATAAAGAGCCATAAAAGGTACCAAAATAATTTTTATACGTTTTTACCCCCTAAACGTTCGAATTTCTATTTTTAGAAGTAGATGCCGATTAATCCAACATTTTTCTTTTATCTGTATAGTTTGTACAAGAAAATCTGTTTTGCCCGTTTTTCTTCTTTTTTACCCCTAAATTTTGAATTTCCAAATATCCTTCCAAAAATACAACTACGGTCAAAATTTCATTATTCTTGGTTCAGACGCTTGGGCTGTGAGATGATGAATCATTCAGTAAAGCTACTCTTTTATAATGTACTTTTATATACTTAGGTGATTAGAAATATGAATAACTCAGTTGCAAATTGTGTCTTAACGACATTGTCACTACTGACTCTTTATGTACAAGTCATCAGGTGATGACATTTTCATTAGATGACTTCAAGACAAGTCAGCACCTTTTCTGCAGTTGACTTGCACTGACAGTTGATATAAGATGTCTGAGTGACACGACAGTAAGTTGTCATCATAGGCATAATTTTCTAATTAAATTAAGTAAAATGTTTTATAGTAATGCTAATAATTATAAAAACATGTATCTCTTTACGTTTTAATTCGTTTTCTTTAAACGAATCATAGTGAAAAATTATTGGAAATATATTCTTAAGACTTTGAAAATTCTATCTAAATAAATAAATCAAAATTTAAATACAAAAAATTTATCATCAAAAAAATTTTTAAAAATTTTCATATCTTAAACGTGGACAAACAAAATGAAATTGCCGTATCATAATATCTATATCGTACATTTAATAAAGATGTATCTACTCTTTAACATTTGTTTTTAAATTTAAGATGAATTAGCTGCGAAACAATTTCTTGAGGAATTTAATCCAGAAACAAAATTGGGGATTGAAATCGTAAAGAGGTCAAGGATCAAAGATTATTATAGTTTCTTCAGTTTAAGAATTTAAATTTTGTTTTATATTTATGTATGCACAAGTGCATATACTTATGTTGTGTGACGTTTTGAAATGTTCTTTAATAATGTATAATAAATTCTTCCGTTGGTACTCAATGTGTACTCTTTTTGTTATGGCATTATCTTGGCAGCTAATTGACATTCCACTTTATAGACCTCACTAATGACCAATTGCTGAAAATAACTGCTGACCTTTTATGACATTTCATACATTTGTCATTACTGCTGATATACGTCGATTCTGTCTTATGGAAATTTGACAAAGTATATGAAAATGTCAGGGGGTATCATGAAGTTTTTGTATGGGAACACATGACGAATTCAGCACCGACTCTGACAGTCATTTCCATAAGACGTCTTAATGAAATTTTCAACTGGGAAATGATGTCTGTTGTTCATGTGAATAACGGATTTCGCATAAAACACAAAAAATTTTTCTTGCAATTTAAAGAAATTATGAAACGACAATCACTACAAAAAACCTATCGTCGAAATTGACATTTCGTTTGTTACTAACAGAGCACTTTTATGTTAAAAAACATAATATTTTACACAAAATGTTTATAGAATACAAAAATTTAAAAATTCATGTTAACAACGTTAACAGAACGAAGGTTTTAGTTATAGAATAAGGGTATACATTTTATATATCATTATTTAAATTTCTTGTATATCAATATTTATAAACTATTTCGTTCTGATTTTAATATTTGGATCAACTTAAACCATTTTGTTATTTTTTCACCATTATTATCCGCAATCACCTTCCCTCTCTTGCTTTCCCCATATGATTATTTTCAATAGAAATCCGTTTTGATCACTATTTCATCGGAATTTTTGATCAATTGTGGTTCAAAATTAATCTAATAGATTTAGGGCGGTGCTCTGAGCAACATATTCCAATTTTTCAGTGTGTTTTCCTTCAGTAATGTTATTTTTTAACTTATCAAGTGCTTAAGCTTATTATCTTGCCAAGATATAAACTTGCCCAAGTCCATTTCGAAGGCACTAATCTTAAGATTTGACTGTAATATGCTCACATAGTGTTTACTGGAGCTTTTTGAATAAATTTCCCCTAGGTTCCCCACACCTAACGTTAAAAATTGGAAACATACGAAGAGTCAACTGACCCATACCTTCCATATTTTCACCAACATATTTAAAAAGCATGGATATTTTTTCGATTTTAGTATTTAATTTAGTATTTTTTAGCTCAAATTTACGAACTTAGTCAGATGAGTCCCAATTTGTACCGAAAATTTTAAAATGTCGACAATGAGTGTGAGTAAAGCCCTTCAATATACACAGTTTTAAAAACAATACCCCAGGTTTTTAAATATTATGGCGGAGGGCTATCGGTATTGGTATATTATTAAACTTTAGGAGCTGAAATCTTAGTGAAAATGGAGTAAACAATAACAAATCAGCAATTCACGAGCGTATTTAATAAAAATTTTGACTTAATGCCTCAACAGATTCATGACTACAAACAAACGACAAAGGTTAAAAACATTATTGTAAGAAAAAAAAACTGAAAAATTGGAATAACCTGCTCGGAGCATCGCCCTAAATCCAATAGCTTGGGAAAGGGAA